GGGGTGGGGGGGATGCTGTGCACCCCCTGGGGTGGTGCTGGGTGATGCTGTGCATACCCCGGGCGATACTGGAGGTACGTGCTCGGTGATGCTGTGCACGCCCTGGGTGATACTGGATCTTTGTGCTCGGTGGTGCTGGGTGATGCTGCGTGCTCGCCCAGCCCTCACCGACCGTGCTGGGTGAGTGCAGCTGCGGGGAGTTTTGTCGCCTGGGGTGCAGTGAACTCACTGAGGTTCAACGGGGAGTAGGGCACAGGCTCCATCCTATTATTTCCCTGGGGGGAGTCGAAAAACAGGGAGCTCCTCAGGAGGGGAATTGGTAGAACCTCTTTGTGTGCAGAGGGGAGGGATCCAGGCCCCAGGCTCTTCCCCTGCCAGTGGGATGCGGTGGAGGTTTCTGTTAGATTTGGCCGATCAGGCTGCGTGCTATTATCTGCCCTCGGAAACGGCTAACGTGGAGACTATTGGAAACATACCGTCAAAGTTATTTTTGTGCTTGGGCTTTCAGAAGCGCTGTCTGCAAATCTCCGTAAAGGAAATTCCTGGCATTGTATGGGGCTAATCAGAAATACTGCTTCACCACCAGGTTACGTTGCTTATAGGGTAGCTTTCAGTTGCCCTTCCAGGGCACCCTTACCCTGCTTGCCTGCGTAAAGATATCTTGCTGAAGGTAGCAGGTGACTTCTTGGGTCTACTGGGCACGGAGCATTAAAAGACAGCAGGATGGGATTTTCTTGTATTTAAAATTCAAAGCGGCTAGGTCCATTTTACGCAAAGTGGAATAAAAAATGCCCTGTTGGAAGAAGCCAGTTTTTATTCCCTTCGTAGGTAGGGATCAGAAAGCTCTGCGCTCTCTAGAAAACTTCTTGGTCAGCAGACTTTGGAAGAGCCGGCCAGTTTCCTCGAGGTTCAGTGTGTCCAAAGTGTCCTCCTTTAGACCTTGAGGTCCGGGGTGTCCTTGTCCCTTGCTGGGCAACCGGAGGACGAGAAGTTTGCTAACTGCTGGTGACCTGTGCTCAGCTGTTAGGTGACTACGACAAGGTGAAGGCGGTGTCTGAAGGCTCCGACTGTCGGTGCAAATGCCTGGTCAGACCCCTGGGCCGCGGCGCCTGCCAAAGGATTAACGAAGGCGCTTTCAAAGCGGAGGATTTTTACACTGTGGAAACCATCACGTCAGGACCCAGCTGCAAGTGTGCGTGTGTGGCCCCCCCCTCGGCGCTCAATCCGTGCGAGGGGGACTTCAGGCTGAAGAAGCTGCGGGAGGCAGAGAGCAGCGACCTGAAGGTAGGAGAGCAGCTCGAATTCGGGGCTCCTTTGGGAGGGGGAGATCTGCTGAAGCCTTTTCTTTCGGAGCTTTTTCTGGAAAACTTTTTTCCTAAACTTTTCGTCTAAAACACCTCCTCGTCACTTTTATGTCTGCGTGTTGGATATAAAAGCTCAGCGTGAGGGACTGATTCAAGCAGCTGCAGTCGATGATTCACTCAGCAGCACGCTGCCCGATTTATCCCTTGCTGACTGGGGTCCACCGTGGCTGCCTGTGCTGGAAGCCCAGGAGGGACTGGGCTGCTCCCTGCCCTTTGTCCAGCGCTAAGTGTCCCTGGGGGGATGGCTCTGCTCCGCTCAGCAGCTGCCAGGTCTCGTTCCCGTTGTGGAGAGGGGCTCCCGAGGATCCACGCAAAAAGCTGTTTTGGCTTCCACGGGCCAAAAGCTGCTGATGCGTCAGCGTGAGGGTGTGTTACACAGCTGGCTGATGGCAGGATGGGTTTTGTTGTTTTAAGTGCTGACACTTCTACACTATAGTATTTTATCCCTTTAGTAATATGTACCTCTTTTCCAAACGTGACAGTGTTTGTCCTAAGTACTCGTGACTTTTCTTGGATGCTTAATTTTGCTGGTCTTGCAGCTGGCATTTCCAGTTTGTTACCTGTATAGGGCAGCAAAAATCCTCCGCAAAGGACCACTGGCTTGGTCCCGCCTCTGGGGAGTCCCCAGAGCAGAAGGTTGAGTGCTGGTGGCATTCGTGTGGGTGGTGATGGGACGGACTCCGTGGCAGTACTGCTAGTCCCAGCTCAGGTGGGAAGGCACGCTGTGGGCGAGGTGCTGCGGGGCAACCTGCCGCCGGGGCCACCGTTATGGGTTTGTTCTAATTAATTTGGAGCTTGAGGATGTGTTTCATCTTGTCCGACTGCAGACAGTTAGCAGCTTCTTGTCCAAGCTCCCCTGCAGCTAGGGAAGGTAAACAGGCACAGGCAGATAATCCATCATTTCAGGGAAGGAGGAGCCCCAGTCTGGAGCTGTGTGGTGGTCCCACGCCTGCAGGAGAAGCCAGGATGTCCCATTTGGCCTTAGATGTCGACCCGCCAGCTCTCTGTGGTTAGGAAGGGAACAGCCTCTGGGGGTGACAGAGCCACCCCTGAAGTCCCTCACCTGGAGGCAGGCAGAGCTCCTCCACCAGCAGCTCACACCTCTCTCCCGGTCCTCTCCAGAGCTCGTCAGCCTCCAGGAGGAGCAGAGCGACATGGCTTGCTGCGCCTTTGGCTCCAGCTGCCTCTTCCCACTGGGGAGCCGCTCACAGCCAGCTGTGGTGTGAAAGCTTGTCCTCTAGGAACTGGCCCAGGCTCCCCGGCTCATTTCGCAAGGATCCGCGGCCAAACGATTTCACAAGGTTTATCCAAATATACACACGTGGGGTTTTTCTTTGCTGCAGAAGTAAAACCCCAGGAGCTGTGAAAACAGGCTCTCTTTCTTGCCGAGCAGAGAGTCCCTCCTGGGGTCGGGCCCGCTGGGAAGAGCAACCTCTCACAGGAGAAACAGGGAGGCAGGAGAGGACGCAGCTCCTGTTCTTACGTGACTCACGAGGAGCATCTCCCACACGGCTCATGAGGAGCAGCTCCCACGCTCTTCGGTGGGGGGCCGGGAGGGCCGGGCCAGGCCACTTCATTGCTCCTAACACCCCCAGGGTTTTTACCTCCCTTGCTGGGCTGACGAGCATTGTTCTTGCCGGGTCCAGCAGCGCGATATGCGTAGTTGTGCTCTACATCTGTTGTGTTTTACCGGTTTTTCTTATGCTCTGACTCAAAACCCCTGGGTACTCTGTTTGTGGGAGAGCCATGGAGAGGTCCCCAAAATGAGAGCCCTCCCTTACAACGGGTGGGCTGGAGGATGTGTCCCCAAGGGAACAGCGAGGAAGGGAGTATATAAGCCTGGGGAGCGGGGGTACCCCTGGGGCACCCCAACGCAGTGCTGAATGGAGGTTTCAGTCCCGTAAGTGCCTTTAATAAGGTCCCACGGGAATGCACGGACCATCAGACAGTGAGAGGCGAAGTCTGTGGTGGGTGAAGGGAAAGAAAGAGTGAGTTGATGTGTGCGTCGGTGCGGTGTTTTGGGGAGGGTCAGCGTGGTGTTGGCAGGGGTAGCTGACCCTCAGATCTATTTTTGCGAAATTGCAGCCCGCTGCTCCTCCGCTCGTAGGCACGGTGCGCGTTTTGGGGGGGGTCTCAGATGCAGAGTCTGCGCAAGGAGTCTGTGTTCAGGAAGATTTAGAAGGTGGTTAATAAAGTCTGCAACCTTTGTGCGTCGATGGAAATTATCCAGCCGGGAGTTTTGAAAGAGCATGTCTCCAGTGGCTGTCTGGCAGTTTGTGTGCATTGTATCGGTCGTCTCCGTCCAGTTCTCAGTGGAAAGTGGATGCACAGCCATAAAACAGTCCTTGTCTCCTAATGCTGCCATTTTATCTGGCCCCAAAAAATCTTTCCTTTGCTGTCAGCTCCACAGGGAGACTGCAGAGGCCGGGGTGGAAACTCCGAGCGCTGCCAGCAGTGCTGCCTGTACTTCTCCCATGTTTATGGAGCTCTGTTGACCAGTTTGTAGCTGCTGGGAGAAAATGTCAGCGCCTTGTAGTAATTCCCACGCATTGAAAATACTTCCCAGCCGTCAGGGCTGTAAGGTCTGCAGTACCACGCTAGGTGTGGGGGCACGTGGGGACATGCGGAACCGCGGGACCGGAGGGAGCAGAGACAGGGGATGGCTTGGGAGCTCTCCCCCACCAGCTCGGTGCTCTCCTCAGCAGAGTGAGCACCAGGAACCTTATGAAAGGCAGAAGGAGGGTATTGCTGTCTGGATCCCAGGGACCCTTAAGCAGGGGCTGTTGTTGGGTAGGACAGGGGGACACAGCCTTTTCCGCTGGAAGAAGGAGGTGAATTAAATGAAATGGGTGATTGAAGGAGGAGGCAGCATCCCTCTGATAAAGTTGTTCTCCAGGGAAGCAAACTGTTACCAGGCTGGCATGGAATTTCAATTGCTTCACTCTTGCATTTGTGAACATTTTAAAATTTTTAACAAGTTTCTTCTTGTTCCAGGGAAAAAAAAAAAAAAAAAGTACGGGATGGCACGAACTCAGAGTCTGATGTCAAACTCACTTTTATGCTTGTTGCCTCTTTTGTTGCCAGTCACGTCACTGGCGGTGTAGCTAAGCCTTTGGGCTTCTGAGAGAGCCTGCCTAGAGCTGGCAAGGACCGCGGTGCTCCTCCTTGCTCTGCTTACTAATCCCCAGCACCCAAAATACGTTCCTGAACCCCTGAAACTCTCTGCATGCCGTGATCCTGACTGCAGCAGCGATGTGGAAGAGCTGTGTAAAGAAAAAACTTGTGTTTTAATAAACTTCCTGTGCTCAGATGGGTGCGTTGCCCTTGACTTTTCGGCCGTAGAAACCATGTAGGGTGCTTTATAGCAAGGGCCTGTGGCTGACGGTGTCCTCCCTTTGCCTTGCAGCTGTCCTCCATCGTCGAGATGCTGGAAAGTGCCTTTTATGGCTTGGACCTTCTGAAGCTGCACTCGGTCACAACCAAGCTGGTGGGTCGGGTGGAAAAGCTGGAGGAGGTAAGATGAGTCCTGTTCTTCTTCGAGGGTGTTTGCCTTCAGTGGGACTTGCCTCAAGTCAAGTACTTAGTACCCTTGGTGCATTCAGAGCCTTGTTCCTTTTGGAAGAAATGTTAATTAACTGAAAGTAAATTAGACCAAACTAGACTGTCCAAACTGGACCAGACTAGACTCTCCAAACTAGATCTCTGCTGTTCCTTGTAGGCAGTGCCCAGGGCATCACCACCCCATCAGCCTCCCCTGACCCTCTCCAGTTCCCCCCATCCCTCGTGGCCTAAACTGGGTGCAAGATCCCAGCTGTGGCCTCACCAGGACCAGCATCTCCTTGGGGTTCCGAAGGACCTGCTGTTAAGTTTTTCCTCTTCTCTATTTTATGTCTGTGCTGGCTCAATAGTTGCTCTCAACCAGGTGCTTTTGTACTGTTTGCGGGGGTGAATGGTTCAGGGCTGATGCTGGGACACGCTCACTGGGACAGCTGGTAGCCAAGGAGGTCAAATTCCTTAAGGACCAAGTTACATCTTGGCCTGCATTTAAAAAGAGCTGAACCCTCAGCACTGCTAAAAAGATAGATAAAGTACCTTCCTTTTTTTTTTTTTTTTTGAGCAGACTTGCAGTGAAATCATTTTCAGTTCCATACACTTTAATATTTCTTTGGCTAGGACAACGTAGGGTTTGCAGTTTGTTGAGCTGCGCTCAGCTATGTAGCGACAGGTTGCCAGATTAAATACTGGAGTTTTCTCCCGTGGTCCATATCTGGGACAGTAATTCCACATTCTTGTCGGAGCGGAGCAGTCCCGTTCGTCTGCGGCCAGGAGCCGAGAGGCGATGATTTATAAAGCCAAAATTCCACTTGCAAAGTGTTTTGGGAAGGTACTGTGTGCTCCATCCCGGGGTCAGGAGGGAGACAGCCGGGAGGAGCGCGCTTGCCTGGGGGGCATGGGGTTTCCAAGCACGGTGATTGACCCAGAAGGGGGAAAAGGGGTTTTGAGGTCTAAAAATAACAAAGAACCAATGTTTTTGTATGCAATCCCACCCTCTTCCTGTGGTTTAGCGTATTCTCCGGTTGTTACTTGGGTTTGCTGCCGAGTCTTTGCTAATTAGGGGAGAGGAGCGAGGGAAGTGGGAGCTGTGCCACCAGCCCCATGCCGTGCGTCCCCATCGGGGACCTTCGCCGCCATGACACTGGTAGCCATGGGTCTGGTGGTGGGGCTGAGCCCTGTCCCATGACACGGTGAGCTGGGCTTGCCCAGAGCAGGGGATGCTGCAGTGGACACAAAGGGCCCCATCGGGACAGACTGATGCTCTATCGCTATTTAACATCCACAGTTAGTTGCGTTAAGGATGATAGAGGGGACAACCCATTTTTGGTATCATTTATGCATCTGTGGTCCATGAATTTGTCTCACCCTGAGACTAATTGACTGAAAATGGTGCTGTTAGACTTTGTCACCTTTAAACGGATCAGGCCAGAGTGACACAGCCCACCAGGTCAGTGGGTGGGGAGTGCAGGTTCCTCAAAGACCTTGCCGAATGTCGAGTTGGAGGCCAAGGTAAAGAAAGAGTTAGGAGTTTGGGTATTGACATATGACACAAGGGATTTCTTCGTGTGCGCTCTTCTTCGGTACCAAAGCGGCTCTATCTACCAGCCTGTTCCTGCACAGGGGGTTCAGCGTGAGCAGTGCTGGTGGGACTTGTCTGTCTGGGCATGTTGGGGTGACGTTGCAGTGTGGCTGCTCTGCTGACAGCCCGTCACAGTAAGGCAGATGGACAGAAGTAGTCTAGTCTGGCTGAAGCAGTATGTCCAGAGATGGAGCAGTGGAGGTGCAGGAGTAGGGAATTCACAGATTTGGGTCCTTAATTTCTCAGAAGCTGGGTTGTAGGATCATGTAACAAGTGGCTGAAGCTGCCTGCGGGTGCTTCATGGGATGAAGGAGGACAGGGGAGGTCTGGGTTAGATGGAGATTCCCCAGTGCCACTGGGGCAGGGCAGAGCTGGTGCAGGCAGCGCAGGCAGCAGGTGTGAAACGCATCCTGCTGCTGGCTTAGCACGTAAATTCCCATTGAGAGGAGGAGGAGGAGGAGGATCACACCCTGCATTGGCCATGGGATCTGATACAACGGACAGCTGAGATGCCGAACAAGAGCCTGGCATCGCTTCAAAGTGTCGGCCTCCAGGCGGGTGTGCTTTTGGCAGCTGCTTCCCTGGCGAAGCAGCTGAGCAGCCTCAAGCAGCATCACAGACTGGGCTTTGCTGGTGCCTCCCCGCTCAAGGGGAGGCAGATTTTATCCCTAAGCGGATCATAAGCCAAACATTACACAGAATAAGTGATAAGGGCACAAGGCTGTTGGAATCAGCCATCATCCCGAAAGGAGGAGGGTGTTGAAGCTGCTTCTACTCTTGCGCTGCTCCTAAGACACCATCATGAGACACCCTATTCCTTTTCTTTCTACAGCAAAACGCTTGCTGAAAAGTCCCTGCGTTATTTGATTCAGCCTTAAAATCACACAATAAAGCTGTGACTCACAATTCCTGGGTAAAGACTGGGCATTCAGATACCCATGGAAAGGAGTGGGGGTTAACTGAACTCAGGATGGTATTTTTGCAGCGATGAGAAGGTATTGCGAGTTGTTTCCAGAATAACAAAGCATTTTACACAAACGCTCTCGGTCAAGGGAATGAACTCCCGAACCCTTGGTCCTCAGAGCCAGCGCCTTCTCTAGCAAGGCAGCTTCTCTGCTTTGTCTTCAGTTGGCAGCTGTTGCATCAGCTGGCAGTTTTGAGATCACAGATGGAGGTCACGGTGGGTTTTAGGAGAAATTAATGGCACGACAGATTGAAAATGAAGGATCAGTGGGAACCGCCCCCGGTCTCTGTGCAAAAATGCTTTGATTGATGTGCCACCTATTCAAAACAGTTGCCATTTGAGATGGAAAAGACCAAGAAGTGACGAGCAGAGACTGAAAAATCCCCTTGGTCACAAGGCTTGCCTATGCTTGGGGGACTGAGAAGGGCAAAGGGATTTGCTTGCCATGAGCTGCAGCCCACCCCAGCTCCCTCCCAGTCCGGGACAGCTCTCTGAGGGACACTGGTTCTCTTCCTCTCCCCAGATTCTCCCCCTCTTCTGTGGGAGGAGCAGTTCCTGAGTCTGGGCGCTGCATGGCTGGACAGTGGGGCAGGACTGGGAGAACAGAAACCAGACAAGTGGGATGCTGACCTTGAGGACTTGCCTCGGGGGTTAGGCAGCCAGGACGGGACCCTGCTAGGAAATTGGGATTAATAAATAAGAGGTGAACATGGCTACCATAGGCAAAGGACATGAGGCTGGGACTTCGGATGTTTTAGCTTGTCTTTTCCTCTTCCATCTGGAGATGTGTGTTGAAGAGCCTGAAGGCCACTCTCCTGCTCCACGGGGCCCCATGGCAAAGAGTGGATCAGGGATGTGCAGGCCAGGGATGGGGTTTCTGGATCCCACTGGGGTCAGGGGTACTTTCTTAGTAGCTGAAGTGCACAGCTCCACGGAGAAGCCCAGCTGTGATCCCAGGATGGGAGCACAGAGCTTGCTGGCTCCTGGGCCAGGTTTGGGGGCCCTGGAGCATCCTTTGTCTTTACGTGGGGTAAAGTCTCCTCTGTTGCCTTTCTAGGGCATGTCCAGGAACTTCACGCAGGAAGGCCACCGCGCAGGAGCCAACGTGGAGGAGGGTCCGCAGGATCCCCACCGCAGGGACAGGGAGAACTGCTCCAGCCTCATCACCAACAACCTTGCTGACATTGAGAGCTCGCTGCAGCGGGATGCCGAGGCTGCCTACACGCACGCAGAGGTATGACCGCCCCAGAAGGTTGCACAGCTCGAAGCGGCTGCTGCTGCGCAAGCCAGCCCAGAGGGTCTCCTGGAGATGTGGCCCCCAGCAGGCCACCAGCCCAGGGTTATTTTCTTCTCGGCTCCGCCCGCCCCCCG